CCTCCCAAACACCCCTCCCTTCCTCCCTCCCTCCCAAACACCCCTCCCTTCCTCCCTCCCTCCCAAACACCCCTCCCTTCCTCCCTCCCTCCCAAACACCCCTCCCTTCCTCCCTCTCCTTCCCTCCCTCCCAAACACCCCTCCCTTCCTCCCTCTCCTTCCCTCCCTCCCAAACACCCCTCCCTTCCTCCCTCCCTCCCAAACACCCCTCCCTTCCTCCCTCTCCTTCCCTCCCTCCCAAAAAACACCCCTCCCTTCCTCCCTCTCCTTCCCTCCCTCCCAAACACCCCTCCCTTCCTCCCTCCCTCCCAAACACCCCTCCCTTCCTCCCTCCCTCCCAAAAAAAGCAGGGCACGGAGGACGTCCCGCTGGAGGAACAGCCTGAAGATCGGTTGCCCCGCCTTGTCCTGGTTGTGATCTTTGAGGACCTTCAGCTCCTCCTCGACGTCGGCGCTCGGCCCTCGAAGCCTCCTGAGGACCTTCCTTGCCTCGGACTCCCTCCCACTGACAGCCAGGAACGTCGGGCTCTCGGGCACGAAGGACACCGAAGCGAAACACGCGAGGAACACCCCCACGGCCACCGCCGGGATCTCGAACCAGCGGAGGCACAGGCCGAGGCTGACACTGGCCACGAGGCCGGCGCTCACCATGACGTTCGGGATCATCGCCAGGAAGCCCCTGACGTTCGTGTCCGGAAGCTCCACGGCGTACACGTTGCCCACGACGGACATCATGCCGGAGAACACGCCGCAGAGGAACCTGTCGGGGAGGAGGAGGAACGCCTTACCTTTTCCGTCAATGAAACGTTGAAACGAAACACAAACGCAGTAAAACTGATATATATATAAATAAATAAGATAAACCACCGGGATTATAGAGGAAAAAAACACTCCTCAGTTATTTGTTGTAGGGATGCTATGATGCTTACACTCTTTAGTCAATGAAATGTTGATTGTGAAGCGATTAAAGATGCTATAAAACTGATAAGACTGATATATAGATAAATAACATAACTCTAAATTACAAAAAAATCGAGAAAACCCCTAAACACTCTTCAATTGCTAGGTTTAATGATTGAAGTTTACATTGCAAAGCAATATCATGAATGTGTTTACCTATTACCTTGATCTAATAACAATAATGATAATAATAACTCTAATATTTATAATGATAATAATAATGATAATAATAATAGTAATAATAATAATAATCATCATCATGATAATAATAATAATAATGATAATAATCATGATAATAATAATAATAATAATAATAATAATAATAATAATAATAATAATAATGATAATAAAAATAATAATAATCATGATAGTAATAACAATAATAATAGTAATAATTATAATAATAATAATAATAATAATAATAATAATAATAATAATAATAATAATGATAATAATAATAATGATAAGGAGAGGAGGGAGGGAGGAGGGTAAGAGGAGAGGGAAGAGAAGGACGAGGGAAGAAGAGAAGAGAAGGACGAGGGAAGAGGAGAAGAGAAGGAGGAGGGAGGATAAAGGAGGTATGCTATCTAACCAATGAACAGACTATTAACCCTGATCTTTTTGCTGTGGGTATGTTTTTGCAAGTATGACTTATGAGGATGTGTTTCTGTTGGCAGTAGTAGTAGTGGCAGCAGTAGTTATCGTAATAGTAGAAGTTATAGCAGTATTTGTAGCAGTTGTAGTAATTGTAGTAGTAGTAGTCGTAGTAATGGTGGTGGTGGTAGTATCCCTCTCACCTCCCTCTCTCATCCCTTCCTCATCCCTCTCCCCTTCCCTCTCTCCTCCCTCCCCCCCTCCTTATCCTCCCCTCCCCTCCCTCTCCCCTCACCTCACCCTCCCTCTCCCCTCCCTCTCCCCTCCCTCTCCCATATCTCTCCTCCCTCTCCCCTCCCTCTCCCCTCCCTCTCCCTTCCCTCTCTTCCTCCTTATCCTATCCCCCTCCCTCTCCCCTCCCTCTCCCCTCCCTCTCCCCTCTCCCTCTCCCCTTCCCCCTCCCCCTCCCTCTCCCCTTCCCCCTCCCCCTCCCTCTCACCTCCCCGTCAGCAGCATCCCGGGATTCAGCGAGAGTGCCACCAACCCCCAGGCGAGCACGCAGGGAAGGACTAGTGCCATGAGGGACCTTTTTCTCCCGGCCCTCCTGAGCGCCCAGCCTCCGAGCCACGTCCCAGCGAGTCCTCCGCCAGATAGGATGCTTCCTGTAGTCAAGGAGGGAGGGAGGGAGGGAGGGTGGGAAGGAGGGAGGGAGGGAGGGAAGGAGGGAGGGAGGGAGGGAGGAGGGATAGGAGGACATGGAGGAGGAGCGGGAGGAGGAGAGGAAGAGAGGAGGGAGGGGGGAGGAGGGAGGGGGAAGGAGAGAGGGGGGATAGGAGGGGGGAGGAGGGATAGGAGGACAGGGAGGAGGAGAGGGGGGAGAGGAGGGAGGAGGGAGAGGAGGAGAGGGGAGAGGAGGGAGGGGGGAGAGGAGGGGGGAGGAGGGATAG